TACCGAAAGTGATTGGAAGCTGAGGACAGTGCGACGGGTGTGCTGTTGTCCCCGTCGAATTCTGTGGCAAAATCCTTTTCCCTAGTGGCGGCTCAAACTATCATTCGGCCTGGTCAGGCCCTGTTTATACAAGTGTTGAATGGGGGCCCGGACCGGGTCGTCGTCCCGCCTGGCTCAGTGTTGGCTCACACCACTACCAATTTTACCAGCTGTGAGGGTGAACCACCCACAAAAATGGCCGCTGGCGGGTCATGATCCAATTGTTCAGACGATCGATGGATCGCAGATTTGTGCGGGGAAAATACGTCCTTGTCGGCCATGCAGCGGAGCGCCTTGCGTTCATTATTATTGGAGTACGTTAACGTTTTCAGTAAAAACGATTTGGATCTGGGCCATACCTCGCTCTTGTCGCACCATATCGACACCGGTGTGGTGGGACCAATTTGTATCCACCGGCATCGCATGAGCCCTGCAGAAAGGGAACACGTGCATGGTGTGGTGGACGACATGTTGGCGGCCGATATAATTTCACCGTCCAACAGTCCTTGGGGCACGCCGGTGGTGCTGGTTAAGAAAAGGGATGGTGAAACGAGGTTTTGTGTAGACTTCTGCCAATTGAATAAGATATCCGTGGTGGAAACATACCCCTTGCCACGGATGGATGACTCGTTGGACGCTTTGTCAGGGGCAAATTTTTTTAACCACCCTCGACCTGTCGTCTGGGTTTTGGCAGCTTCCCCTTGATGACGCGTCCAGACCGAAAACGGCGTTCCGCACACCACAAGGCCTCTTTGAGTTTAACCGCTTACCTATGGGCTTGAATGCGGCACCGGCGACATTCCAACGCCTGATGGAACTGGTGCTAGCGGGGCTGCAGTGGGAAACGTGCCTCATATATTTGGACGATATCATCGTATTCAGCCGCACTTTCGAAGAACACCTCTAACACTGGAGATTGTCTTTCAGAGGATGCACTCGGCTGACCTAAAATTTAAACCAAAAAAGTGCCACCTTTTGCAACGATCCGTCCGCTACTTGGGACACATCGTCAGCTCTGACGGTGTGTCCATTTCTGACCAACACCACCTGGTCGGTGAAATAAAACATGTACATCGGGCCCTCAGAATGAACGGATACTCTGACCGCACTATCCGCCAAGCTGTTTCTCCCACCACACAGAAACAGCCACATGAAACTCCGACCAAAACTATCACGTTACCATACATAGCAGGCGTGACCAAAAAGATCTCCAACATTCTAAACAAACATAAGATCCAAGTCCGATTCAGTACAGTGCATAAAATCCGTGATCTGATTCCATCTGTGAAGAATATCGTTCCTGACTTACAGTATCCTGGAGTCTACAAATTGAGTTGCAGTTGTGGTGATTGCTACATTGGAGAAACGAAACGTCATGTTTCTGATCGTGTCCGCGAGCACAAGTCAGATCTGAAACACGGCAGAACTGATTCTTTGGCCGTTGCCGATCATTGCTACAACTCTGTGGGCTCTCATGAAATTGTCTTTTCCGAGACCAAGGTGCTCTGCAAACCTCCTGGCTAACCATCAAAGGTGTGTACACGAAGCCATACAAATATACAAACATAGACATAATTTCAACCGTGATGATGGTTACAAACTGAGTAATCATTGGAAAGATGTTATTAACCATGCAAATAAGATTTAACTACACTTATTTGGTCCATCTTATTTGACAGACAACTATTACAGGTTATTGATAGACAGCCATGTTAGTTGTTTTCTTTTTTCACACTATTGTTATGTAGGCCAGGCTTAGTCACAAACCGTACCTCTCCATAACAAAGGCTCAGCCTTTGTTATGCAGTCTATTCTTAGTCTTAAGCCTCACCTTACCATATTAATAAAAAGTGTGCCTTACTTGGCCCTTCCCCTCTCCAACCATTATATATACGGAGTGGTAGTTCTTGTAATCTCTCATTTACTTGATACAGCTTTCGTGGCTGTGACGGTTACACCTGAAGATGGAAGCTTGTGTTGCCTCCGAAACGTCGTGATTTTTATTTTATTTTACTTTTATTAATTTTAATGTTTTACCTACGTGACTTTACCGAAAAAACCTAAGAATATGAATCCTTGCAGTCACGAAAGCTTCAAATCTAGAATTAATAGCCACTTTCATGCCCTCGTCGAGGAGGCCGCTCTCCTATCTTACAGTTACATGCTAATTTCTTACATTAACATCACTAGCCCCGGTCACTTCTTATGACCCTTGAGCTACACCCATTTCAAACCTTTTAAAACAGTCTTCCTCAACAGCAGAGCATGCTTTCCCACCTGGTGATGGACGCTTGTGTTGCGCCCAAAACGTCGTGATTTATTTTGTTCTATACCTACGTGACTTTACCGAAAGAACCCAAGAGTAAAGTGTATACTGTCAGAGCATGTTTTTTGTTTGTATTTTCACCACAAGTATTGTAGTTAATGAAGACATGATTCCTTGCAAAAGGTTTCAGTTTGGTGTCTAAACATCTTCACACCTGTTTTGTTGCAAGAAAAAGGGGAAAACCTATTTTTATTTGTGGAGAATAACAGCCATTTTCTATTCTTTTGAGGCATAAGCAATTAGGAAATAACTCTACCCAGGAATACATTTTATTTTATTACACGGTATTATCTGAACCTGTACCGGGCCTCCCGAAGGTCGGCTCAGCCTCAAATGAGTATTCCCCCCTTCCCGTGCAGTGGTGGTGTAGTAAACATCGCCACTGGGGAGACAAAGGCGGCTGGACGTGCGTGGTGCTGGCCACTACCCCCTCTGTGTGTGCCACTGTGCGGGTAGCCTTCAGAGGCAGCTGCTACTCGCTAACAACACTAAACCCCGTCGTTTGTGTAGTGACATAAGAAGGGAGGGGCTGCTGGGGGGCTCTGGGACCCTGGGCGGGCCAGGCGCTTGGGCCCCTTGGCGCCAGGTGCTGGGTTCCCAGGCGGCCCAGACGCTTAAGCCCTTTTGGCGCCAGGCGTTGGGTTCCCAGGCGGCCCAGGCACTTAAGCCCCTTGGCGCCACCAACGGGGGGGGGGGGGGGGGCTGTGTGTGCTCTGTGGGATATCTGGGGGCGCACACGGCCCCACCCCTCGTTGGGGACTAGGCATAAACAGAGGTGTAAAGTACTTGAGTAATTTTACTTGATTACTGTACTTAAGTATTATTTTTGGGGATTTTTACTTTACTTGAATACGAATAAAAATCAATACTTTTACTTTTACTTAATTACATTTTTTTTAGAAAAAAAAGTACTTTTTACTCCTTACAATTTTATTTACAGTCAAAAAGTACTTATTTTTTGGAGATCACTTCATTCTATTTTCCGTTGCTATTACCAAACCAATTGAATTGCGCTGATGCCCAGTTTAATTTAAATGTTATTTATTCTGCCTATGAAAATCGTTTTCACATTACATGAAATTGGTCAGACATGTTCATTGGTCCTTTGGAAGTGACGTCATGTCACATATATTACCACAATGCGCAGCACCTTGACCTGGAAATTAGAGAAATTATAACAGTCAATCAGTGGAAGAAAATGGAGGAAGAACGTGATTCAGCTGCGAGCACAGTCCAAAATCAATCACAGGATCAAGAGCACCCATGGCCGTATCTTAGCGAATTATTTTCTTTTAGTGGTATTAATAAGGATTCATTCAATATTAAATGTGTCCTTTGTCTCCCGCTTAATAAGGAAATATCGGCCTTCAAAAGTTCGCTATCAAACTTAAGGAAGCATATTGAGGTAAGTACGTTAAGTATTTTGTTTTACTGGTAGTTTTTTTGTGTGCATGTTTTGACCTTGACGGCGCACCTTTTATATGTGTAGTAGGCCTATTTTCACTAATGCATGCGATTGACAATATAAGGCTCACGTAATAAAATGCTAAAATGCATTTGTAATTGTCTGTAAATTATTTGCTATGGTAACGTTAGGTCCACGGGAAATTTGGCGCCTATAGCAGTATTTCTTTGAATCATCATTATCGTTCCGTGCTCTCATTGTGTTTGAATTCATGCACAACACAAGAAAATCAAGCGAGAAATTTTTAATAATTACCAAACATGTTGTATTGTCAAAACGGTAACACTTTACAATAAAGTTCATTAGTTAATGTATTAACTAACATTGAGATTAAAAGCTTAAACAATAATCTCTAGTTTTCATTCTTGCTGTTACTTTTACTTCTTTAATACTCAAGTACAATTTTAATGTGGTACTTTTTTACTTTTACTCAAGTAAGATTCTAGCCAGATACTTTTACTTTTAATTGAGTAAAATTTTCCCTCAGTACTTGTACTTTCACTTGAGTAACATTTTTGAGTACTTTTTACACCTCTGGGCATAAAAGGGGAGCTCCCTGGACGATCAGGGCCAGTTGTAGCTCAAGACCCAAGACCCAAGACCAGCCATCTGAGGACCCTGGGACGCTGTGAGGGCCAGTGGTGGGACTCTGGAACTCCTAGCTCTACATCCTTGTGAGGGCGAGTTCCAGAGCGTAGCCAGAGTAGTGTATCTAGGCTGTGTACCTAGGCTGTAACAGAGTATCAGGACTGTTGGAGTGCTATTGGATTGTAATAAAGAAGTCACCTCTACAAGTGTCTCTGGAACCCATTACATTTGTAAAGGCAATACGGGGGATATTTGTCTTTGTTTGTATACGTACGTGTGCGTGTGTAGGATGAAATGTATACGTGTGCTATTGGACACCTTGGTTCAGTGTAACACGTAGGCTTTCGTGACCAATATTATTCATAATAAAGGTGTTTGGGTTAGATCGCGTTACTGTTACACGTGTCACACCCCTCCATCACCCGACACGGCCAAACAGTAAAACATGTGTCACGTTTACAAAAGACAATTGTTAATATTTACTCAGTATGAATGGAAACAGTTATCATATATTTCCCTGCATTGCAAGCAACTATATAAGTCGGGATATTTGTCTCTCCCTCCTGGAACATCGATAGCATTCTCATCACTCAGCTGTCAAGCCCCTTCTGGAACATCATCTTGAGGTCGTGATCATGGTAGTGATGGTGGTGGTGATGATGATGATGGTGGGATCTCCATTCATCTTTACCACAGAGGTTGATGGTGAGTGTGCTGGTGGTGGTAGTGACGATGATGATGGTGGTGGCGAGGGTGGTGGTAGTGATGGTGCCACCCACTCATCCACCCACTCACTCACCCACTCACCCACCCATCCACCCCATCACCCACTCACTCACCGACCCACTCACCCACCAACCCGCTCACTCATCCACCCGCCCACCCATCTTTGTATCCCCACAGCCGACTTGGTCTGCAACTATCCATTCAGCGAAAAGTTCAAGGACGTTTCGGCGTCCCCCGGAGGGATCCTCATCGGCGTTGGGAGCGACAGAGACGTCAAAATTTGGTCCGGTTGCTCTTGGCGACCGATGGGGGCGACGTTTGATCGGATATCGATCGGAGGCCGAGGTCGGGGTGCCGCAACGTCGAGTGGAGACCTCTACGCGTGGGCGAGAAACTACAACAAGTTGTACTACTACCACGGATACGCGTGGTACCACGTGATGGGTGAGATGATGATTTCCTTTTGCCGCTGCTATTATTAGTACCACTACTGCAAGCATATCATTTTAAAGTAATACGTCAACTCATTCACCCACCCACCTACTCACCCACTCATTCATTCACCCACCCACTCACTCACCCCTCACTTACCCACTCACCCTCCAACCCACCTACTCACCCACCCACTCACCCACCCAATCAACCACCTTACCCACCCACTCACCCACTCACTCACCCACTCGCCCAACTATCCACCCGCTCACTCACCGACTCAATCTTTGACCAACTCACTCACTCATTTACCACCCACACAAAATCACTCACCTACTCACTCACTAACCCAATCATCCACTTACTCACCCACCCACTCACTCATCCACTCACCCACCCACTCCCTGACTCACTCTCTGTTGAATGTACTCAGCGGTGCCAATGATATTCTACACAGCAACTCACTCACCCACTCAATCACTCCTTCACACATCCATTCACTCACCCACTCACTCACTTAACCACTCATTCACTCACCCACCCACTCAACCATTCATCCATTCACTCACACATCCACTCACCCACCGACCGACTCACCCATTCACTCACCCACTCAGTAACTCACCCACCCACTCACTCACCCACCCACCCATTCATTCACCCACTCACTCACTCACCTACTCACCCACCCACCCACCCACTCACTCACCCATTCATCCACCCACTCACCCACTCACCTACTCACCCACTCACTCACCCACCCACTCACCCAGCCACCCACTCTTCCACCTACCCACTCACCCAACCACTCACTCACTCACTCACCCACTTAATCACTCACCCACCTACTCACCCACCCACCCACACACTCACTCACCCACCCACCCACCCACTCACCCACGCACCCACCCACTCACCCACGCACCCACCCACCCACTCACTCATCCACTCACTCATCCACCCACTCACTCACTCATCCACTCACACAACCACGCACTCACACATTCACCCAATCCGTCACTCATCCACTCAGTCACTCACTCACCTACTCACCCACCCACTCAAACACCCACCAACTCACCCAACCACTCACTTAACCACTCATCCATCCATTCATTCACCGATTCACCCATCCACCCACCCACTAACTCATTCACTTACCCAACAACCCACTCACCCATTCATCCACCCACTCACTCACTCACCTACTCACCCACTCACTCGCAAACTCACTCTCTCACCCACTCACTCAATCACCCACTCACTCACCCACCTATTCATCCATGCACCTACTCACTCACTCACCCACTCACTCACTTAACCAATCACTAATTCACTCACCCACCCACTCAACCATTCATCACCCACTCACTCACTCACTCACCCACTTGCTCACTCACTCACCCACTTACGTACCCATTCACCCAATCACTCATTCATCCACCCACTCACTCACCCACCGACCCACTCACCCACTCACTCACCCACTCACTCAGTCACTCATCTACTCACCCACCCACTCACTCACCCACCCACCCATCAACTCACTCACCCACTCAATCACCTTCTCACCCACTCACTCACCAACTCACTCATTCACTCACCCAACCACCCACTCACCCATTCACCCAATCCCTCACTCAACCAATCAGTCACTCACCTACTCACCCACCCACCAACTCATCCACCCACCCACCCACTCACTCATCCACTCACTCATTCACTCACTCACTCATCCACTCACACAACCACGCACTCACTCACTCATCCACTCACACAACCACGCACTCACCCATTCACCCAATTCCTCACTCATCCACTCACCTACTCACCCACCCACTCAAACACCCACCAGCTCACCCAACCACTCACTTAACCACTCATCCATCCATTCATCCACCGATTCACCCATCCACCCACCCACCCACTCACTCATTCACTCACCCACCAACCCACTCACCCATTCATCCACCTACTCACTCACCTACTACCCACTCACTCAATTGCAAACTCACTCTCTCACACACTCACTCAATCACCCACTCACTCACTCACCCACCTAATCACCCATGCACCTACTCACCCATCCACCCACTCACCTACCCACCCACCCACTCACTCACTCACTCACTCACCCACTTACTCACTCACTCACCCACTTGCTCATCCACTCACTCACTCATCCGCTCACCCACCCACCCATTCACCCATTCAATCACTCACCCACTCACCCATTTACACACCCACTCACCTACCCACCCACCCACTCACTCACTCACTCAAACACCCACCCACTCACCCAACCACTCACTTAACCACTCATCCATAATTCATCCACCCATTCACCCATCCACCCACCCACCCACTCACTCATTCACTCACCCACCAACCCACTCACCCATTCATCCACCCACTCACTCAATCACCCATTCACTCACTCACCCACCTATTCATCCATGTACCTACTCACCCACCCACCCACTCACCTACTCACCCACTCACTCACTCACCCACTTACTCACTCACTCACCCACTTGCTCATACACTCACTCACAAACCCACTCACCTACTCACCCACTCACTCACTCACCCACTTACTCACTCACTCACCCACTTGCTCATACACTCACTCACAAACCCACTCACCCACCCACCCATCCACCCACCCACTTACTCACTGACCCACTTGCTCATCCACTCACTCACTCACTCATCCGCTCACCCACCCACCCATTCACCTATTCACCCATTCAATCACTCACCCACTCACCCACTCGTCCACTCACCCACTCACTCATTCACACAAACACCCACCCACACCCATATACACACCCACTCACTCACTCACTCACCCACTTGCTCACTCACTCACCCACTTACGCACCCATTGACCCAATCACTCATTCACCCACCAACCCACTCACCCACTCACTCACCCACCCACCCACCCACTCACTCATCCACCCACCCACTCACTCATCCACTCACTCATCCACCCACTCACTCACTCATCCACTAAGACAACCACGCACTCACCCATTCACCCAATTCCACACTCAGTCACTCACTCACCTACTCACCCACCCACTCAAACACCCACCAACTCACCCAACCACTCACTTAACCACTCATCCATCCATTCATCCGCCCATTCACCCATCCACCCACCCACCCACTCATTCATCCACCTACTCACTCACTCACCCACCCACCAATTCACTCACTCACCCACTCACCCAACCACCCACTCACCCTTTCACCCATTCCACTCAGTCACTCACCTACTTACCCACCCACCAACTCACCCACCCACTCACCCACCTACCCACTCACTCATCCACCAATTCACCAATCCCTCACTCACCCACTCAGTCACTCACCTACTCACCCACCCACTCAAACACCCACCCTCTCACCCAACCACTCACTTAACCACTCATCCATCCATTCATCCGCCCATTCACCCATCCACTCACTCACCCACTCACCCACTCACTCATTTACTCATCCACCGACCCCCACACCCATTCACCCACTCACTCACTCACTTAACCACCCATTCACCCAATCACTCATTCATCCACCCACTCACTCACTCATCCACTCACCCACCGACCCTCTCACCCATTCACCCATTCACTCACTCACCCACTCAGTCACTCACCTACTCACCTATCCACCCACTCACCAAACCGCTCACTCACCCACGGTGTCACTCACTCACCCACTTATTCATCCACTCACTCACTCATCCGCTCACCCACACCCATTCACTCACCCACTCACTCACCCACTTGCTCACTCACTCACCCACCCACTCATCCATTCACCCACCCACTCATCCACTCACCCACCCACTCACCCTCTCACCCATTCACCCATTCCATCACTCACCCACTTATCCACATACTCACCCACTCACCCACTCACTCACCAACTCACTCACCCATTCTCCCACCGACTCATTCACCGGCCCGCTCACACTTAATTGATTAAACACAGCTGGACCAATTAAAATTCATCTTCGTCTTAACATCCCACTGCTATTGTTAGTGTGGGAGTCAAATTCCGTGTTTATTTGGTTAGCCTTGCTGTATCATCATACTCATTGACACATTGAGACCCATAGAGCTACACAAAGATTCATAAAGACTGATTGAGATACATTCACGTCAATAAATATCCATAGACACCTAAAGGTGCATAGATAATGTTAGAGATTAATAGAGATACGTATCTACCCATAGAGATACATAGAGCCCCATAGAGATACAGATACTCATAGAGATACACAAATACCCATGGTGATACACAGAGATCCATAGAGAAACCCAGAGACCCATAGAGATACACAGCCTAGAGACACAGCCTACTCCTAGCGTGCCCTACTCTGGCTACGCTCTCGGGTCCTCCGGCTACAATTACCCTAGGGGAGGCTACCTGACCCGACCCAGCCAAGGTGCGGGTCTAGACTCTGGCTTCCTCGGAACTCGCCCTTACAAGGACGTAGAGCCGGGAGTCCCAGAGTCCCACCACTGGCCCGAACAGCGTCCCTGCCCTTACAAGGACAAGCGGGAAGAGGGGGTCCAGGGTCCTAAGCTGGCTGGTCTTGAGTCTTGAGCTGCGACTGGCCCTGATCGGCTGGAGAGGTTCCCTTTTATGCCCCTGTGCCCATCGAGGGGAGACGTTGCGTGGGATCTTAGATCCCCCGCAGCCCCCCCCCCCCCCCCCCTGGCGGTACGGGGCACCCTTGCAGATGGACCTCGTCAACCACTGCCGGTAAGTGTGGCCCTTCTACGGCACCACATAGATACACAGAGACCCATAGAAATATACAGATATACACAGAGACCCATAGAGAGACCGATATAAATACTCAGAGAACCATAGAGATACTCAGAGAGTCATAGAGATAAGTAGAAATACATTCAGATCCATAGATATACATAAACACTCATAGAGATACATAAAGGCCCATTGAGATACATAGAGACTCTTGGAGATTAATAGAG